GAGAATGGTAGCTTCAACTATCTTGTATTCAGCCTTGTTATGCAACTATTTTATTCTACCTTATTTAGATTATTAAAAAAGTCACTTTCTTTTTTTTTTAAATTCACTTTCAAGATTATTTTCTTATGTTTGTTCTAGCTTTAAAACAAACCTAATATCTGACCATCAGTCTCAGTGATCAAATGTCCCATTCTTACATTTCTGTATTATGATTATTATGGCAAAAATGTGCATCTGCTTTTACTGTCCGACACTGAGTTGGCTTTAAGTGTATGAATTTTGGCTTTTCTTGCAAATACAACATGCATTTCACCAGATTTTCTCCAGGTTTTAAATGTGAATGTACTAGAGGTTTGACCTAATGCATTTTGTATTTCTGCTTGGCTGACACTTCAGCTTCTTGCTATGAAATGAGGAATCCCTTGAATCTTGAAAAACCCTAGAATTATTTTTGGAGATGCTGATCAACAACCTGAATTCAACAACTCTGAAAAAGTCTATTGATCAACTGTTTTTTCAGACAGCATAGAGATTAAATCATGTAGAATACTTGAATGCATAGATAATTTAAATAGAATTTTCCAAGGAAATATCCAAATAGTTCATTTACATCAAAATGTACATTGCTTAAAAAAATATAGAAAATAGTTCCTTCAGTATAGATATGTGATTTATAAGTTGTCTATAAATAGATGAATAGTATGTGTCTCAAATCATAAAGTGTATATCTTTATATATGTTTGTATAATATATATACATATATATGTATAAATGAGATAGATTTAGAAAGATCATTTTTTATTAATATTAAAATAGAATTCCTTGAATTCATGCAGAGCACATACTCAATCTCTTCAACCTTAAAAAACACATAAAAGAAAGAATTGTTTTTACCAATCAAGTGCTTGTAGGTATTCTGACTATATGATTTTTTTCCTACTTATTCTTTGCCATATAGGGGATGTTTTATAAAATATAGGTTCAATATAAAATATTGAAGAGTATATCACATAATATAGAGGGACTGTCCTATATTTTTAATGAATTAGCTTTATATTTTTATATAAAAAGACCAATGTTAAATTAATTTGACACTAATTTATTGCTGATAATTGTTGTTAGAATGGTTCTTGAATTTTTATCACAAGGCTTGATTTTTCTAGAGTTCACTATTTGAATTTCTTACCACATATAGGACAGCATCTTAAATCATGCAGTTAAGTGAGTATATATTAAGCATCAGTACCCTCCCCTCTTCTCCCATCTTCATTATTGTCATTTCCTATCTCACCGAATGGCACCATTGTCTTTCTAATACTGAAGCTAAAATCCACCAAAAACTCCCCATTACTTACTCTTCCTCATCAACTTATACTAATTATTGTCCAAATCTTCTCCAGTCTATATCAGAAATGTAGTTCAAATATGGTATACTTAATTAATGCCTTTATTTAGGTCCTCATAATCTCTTACCAAAAATGAAACAATAGCTTCCTGAATGATCTTCATGCTACCAGGTTCCCCCTATTTTGTCCATCTTCTACTCTCTATAGTGACCTGATTCTGTCTCTACCATATAGCTATAGTTTTCAGCCTCACCTTACTGTAACTTTTTAGGCTGTTTCCATTGTTTCATTTCACCTATATCAGTCTTTTCTATGTCTTACATTTTTACACTTTCATGGTGCTCTTTAGAATGGTCTTTGGTCCTGTTTTCTAATTTTAATTTTACTAATAAAATAAGTGGTTTACTTGAGATAAATTTTACCAGTTTAAGTGAGCTAACTGGTTTTCCATTTTTTTTTCCAAAAGGATCGCAGTGATCAAGAGTATACTAGTGATCATTGTACAATTCATTATTATTTTTTTTAAGATTCTATTTGTTTATTTGAGAGGGAGAGTGAGAAAGAGAGAGAGGGCACTAGTGTGAGTTGGGGGGAGGGGATAGGTGGAGAGGGAGAAGCAGACTCCCTGCTGAGAAGGGAGCCTGATGCAGGGCTGATCCCAGGACCTTGAGATCATGACCTAAGCCATACTGTGCCACTCAGTGGCACATACTATTACCCATACTATTCCCCTAACACATGATTGATACAGTTTTTTTTTAGTGGTATACCTGATGCGATAACTGAATGAATGAACAAATAGGTGAATGGATAAAACAATAAAGAATGAATGATTTAGCTGATTAGCTGTATTTTTTATTTCTTTTTTATGTGCCCTTAACTTTTTAAGACATTAAAAATATAATAATACTATTTTTTATTTATGTTCTTATCATTTCTTTTTTGCCTTACAATTTCAATTGGGATTTCATTTTGCATACAAGTAATGGTGAATATTAATATTGAGCAAATTAACTAGTAAAAGAAGAGAGTCTTTTCAGTTACGTATACTGTGATATTTGTATTGATAAGTTTATAGCCAAAAAAGCTGGTATACTTATACAAAAATATATATAAATATTGTCAAATAATATTTAGTAATTGCATATCAATATCTAAGGTGAGATAAATATGTAGCATGGTTAATATTTAGAAATGTGAATCAATTAAGATTTTGAAGCTAATGATTTTTTTTTGAATACTCCTTTGTCCTATTTTATAACAATGAAATCTACTTTATTTTCTATTGTTAGTTTTGGTTCTTTCAGTCAATAAGTAAGAATTGAAATGTTGTTCTTAGAAGGAATTCAGTGTATTTTATGCCAGTGAATTTTTGGTTATCTCACTAGGAAGACAGCAAATTAGAATAGACTAGTCTACCTTTAAGTACATTAAATTCATTTTCAAGTGTTTACTACTGGAAATTGTATATTCAGAAAGTCATAGAGTACGTTTTGGTTTGTTTGGTATTTCAGTCCATAAAAATTCTGCTTCTAGCTGTGAGTTTGGAAAATCCTGCCAGTTCATACTAAATCCTGAAATTATTTCATGATACAAACTAAAAACCAGATTGGAGCTCTCACATAAAACGTGTTTTTCTCCATCCATCAGAGACTAGTTTCTCTGACATATATAAAAGCAGATTCAAATATATAAATGTATAGGTCTGATTGTTAGTTATAAATAGTGACTTTGTTTTTTAGAACTTTATTTTCTACAAATATCCATTCATCTCCAGAGGCCTCACCTTGGCATCATCAGTCCTATTGACATATGGCCAGATGCTTTCCTGAGGATTTGATCCTTGTAAGGACACCACATGAAATCTTGGGCCACCTGTTATTTGAGAAGATAAAACAAACAGTCAGCACATATGTTAAATATTCAAGTATTATTGGTTACTCACAGGGAACTCTTTTAAAGTAGTCAAGTTGAAATTATGTACTCATGAAAGAATACAAGAGAAAGAAAAACAAATATTTATGCAATACCACTTAGAAGTAAAGCTACTTCTTTTAAGTAAAGTAAATGCACTTTTAAGTAAAGTAAATGCACTTTTAAGTAAAGTAAATGCACTGAAGCTATTTTGCTGGGATTTGATATATTTAATTTTAACATTGTTTCACAAGATATTGGATAGTCTTATAACTGAAACCTTCAAGAAAGAGAAAATTAAAAGAAAGAAAATAGAGAAACTTGAAGGAAGAGTTCTAGGCTTCAGATCCCAAGTTTGCCAACCAGGTGACTTTGGATGAGTCATTTTTCTCCTTTGCACTTCTGGCTATCTCATTTATGAAGTGAGAATTAAAAACGAAAAAACAAAACAAACAAACAAACAAAAAACACCTCTCCTACTTATTTCAAAGCATTATTGGAGGTATCAACTTGAATAATGCATTTGACCATTTTAAAATAAGATGTGATTGACAAAGAAATGAAAAGTACCACTAGAAATTAAAGCAATCCTCATTGTTGAGATGCATATTTTATTTAAAATTCTTTTTAAAATTTAAAATTTCAATTTAAAATTGCTTTTTAAAATTCTGTGACAGCACCTAGCTACCACCATAGGTAGGTAGACATTGTTGCTATCAGGCACTATATATACTTTTTATTCATTATATCATTTAATCTTTATAATAATTCTCTGAGATTACCAATTTCATTAAGCTCTTTGATCTTCAATTTCCCAAATGAAAGAATTCAGGTAAGCCTATATGATTCCAACTGAAGATCGTATATCAATTAATATTTATAATATTTTCAGCATATATTATATACATGAGAATATGGAGATTCAGATTCACACTGGGGAGCCAGAAGTTTAATTAGTGGAGGCTAATCATGGAAATGTTTATAATTTTTATTTATAAAAACTTCTAAAGGGTATGACAAGCAAATTTTAGGGGAAGATGAAGTTATGTGCAGGATTAGTAAATAACTGATAGTATAGTGCTCTTTGAACTCAATAATTTCTGAGAGAATGACAGATGCTAGATGGTTGACAGACTGAGCTAGAGTCTGTGAGGTACAGACAAGATCCAAATGCTTTACTTTTCATTTATTTGATTTCTGTTCAGTTTTCCCACATTATTCAAATATTAGAGAAAAGATTTTTTAAAAGCAGGCAAAAACTGGAATGAAATCCAGATGCTTAGCATAAAGGAACACCTTGTTATAAATACTCTGGTGATTATAAGCGTAACATGTTGCTAAAGATATTGAATTAAATATCATCTCAGTCTTTTAAACAGTGAAAATTATTTTACATAAAAGAAATAATTGAGGAAGTTTTCTCAATTGGTAATTAAACTCAATAGTTGTGAAAATTGAAATTGGTAGCATAGTTGTTCTCTTATCTGTTTCAGTGGCCTACTATGTTAGGAATTTACCAAATGCTTCTTAAATTTTATTTTAGCCATTGCAGTGAGTCTTGCAACAATATACATTGAATTGTCTCAGGAAATTAGGCAAATAATGTTTTTAAAGTATGTATAATTTCTTAATCTTGTTATAAATAAAAATGCCACATATTAGTTCAGTGTAATAATTCATTAAAATGCAAAGAATAAGTTTGAAACAGTACTGTTCATACTTCTTAAAACTTTATTTCAGCTGTGAGTGTACATCTGGATGGACTGGACAAAACTGTAGTGAAGAAATAAATGAATGTGACTCTGACCCATGCCTGAATGGAGCTCTTTGTCATGAGTCTACCATTCCTGGGCAATTTGTATGCCTATGTCCACCCTTTTATACTGGAAAATTTTGCCATCAACACTATAACCCTTGTGATCCACTCAGTGACCCTTGCAGAAACAACTCAACATGTTTGACTTTGGTAGATGGAACTCATTCCTGTGTGTGTAGAGAAGGTAAGAGCTTATTTTTGTTTTAATTTTTTTTTCACTTTTTGTTTGTTTGGTTTATTTTGTTTTTATGAGATTATGGCTCCTTAAAAATGGGTGAGAGAAAACTTACATATATTGGAGAATTAAGGATTATTTGACTCCAAATATAGGTATTATAAACAGACTAGAGAAATAGTCTAAAAAGTTAGCCTAACTAGTACGGTGAGGAGGGACGATGGGGGGCGAGGAGGGAAACAAAACTTTGTAGTTTTTGGTCTTTTTTGTTTGTTTTAAAGAAATTTCCCATTGTTTATTAACAGCTTCTTTTTCCTGAATAATCTTGTTTATGTAGTGTTCCTAACAATAGCTGTTAGAAATAAGCATAGATAGAATCTAGGGTAATCAAATGCTTCATTGTAACTTTTTTTCATGGACTTATCTATGAACACCAATTATTTCCACTTTGGTGGCTAAGCCAGTGTCACGTGCCTCTGGTGGCTACTTTGTACCATAAAATAGAGTCTGTGAAGGGGATAGAGAACGGGCAGATTAAAGAGCATTATTGGCACTCCTGAATCCAGCTGTTCCTGAAGCAAGTTACTTCTGGTTTTTTGGGTCATATCAGCCAATAATAACTTACACAGTTTGAAAGATGCTTGATTAGGATCTCTTCAGATGTAACTGAAAGAGGTCTGGTTAGTGCACAGGTGATCTATATAAATGTTTACTGCTCATGTACTGCTTGCTTCTGAAGAGCTATTACCATCTTCAACAGGAATGCCTCTGCCATAAAACTAGCACATTGTAGGTTTTCAGTGTAACAGGAGTGTGTCATAAGCACAATATAAAAATCACACTGTGTGTAAGAGTCTACAACTAATATTTATTTCCTAATACCAACTCATGGCTTCATGTCTCTTTCCTTGTTACTTATTCTACTAGAAAAGAGGTTAATTAAAGATAAGGACAATACTTGTTTACTCTTCTGTCCTAAAAGGTCAGCTTAGACTATACCAGTTAATTGGTATCTTAGTCAAAGCTGTTCCTGTTTGTTTTTATAAGCCTCTAGAACTTCCTGAGGTATAGGATAATTACAAGCCTCTAGAGGCAAGTCTTTTAATGTATGTACATGACAAAAACTTATGGACCTTCTGAGGGATTGGAACTATAAACTGGAGAGCCATTAGTAATTGTTTTTGCAAAAATGACATGGGCTTTATAAAGCATATAATGCAGGCATACAAGGCATATGGACAGACACATGTTTGCAGGAATGTGTCAGGAAAAGCAAGATAGGAAAAAATGTGAGGGGGACATTTGATACCCTGCAAACCTCAGTAATTATAAAGTACATAAATTAGGTGGATAATTACCTTTTAACAAACACTGAGAGTGAAACTTTTTGAAATAGTATTCAGTAGCAAGGGAGGAGCTCATTTATTCAGCAGAATTATCCATAATGCTTTACTTAGCAAACTAATAGTCTCAGAATATAAGTAATATTTAATGAGAAGTAGCAGCATATTTCTTCAATTAAAATAAAACTTCCTCTGTTTTCACCAAAGAGAGTTTTCTACAAGGTGAGCATGTTTTATGATGTAAAATTTTTGATAATTTATGTGCAATTAATAAATGCATTTAATGAATTTCTATAATCTAGTAAGATTCCTTTCCTGTTGTAGGGTGAGGGAAAAAAAGTTCAGAGATATCATAAAATCTTATCAACGACTATCAAATTAGTAATAAGATTTTCCAGCTTCATGAGTATCACAAAAATATCCTGAGGACAATTTAGATTTCACCATTGTATATTAGTAAAATCTTGTTTGTCTTCTTGGAGCTTCATTATTATACTTAAGGCTTTCAGAGAAATATGACCATTTCAAATTAATGCTTTGGATACAGTAGCAGGTGGGCACAATGAATCATGTGTTTGTCACTTTCTAATTATGATTCAGCACAAAGAGATATGTGAAGAGTACATTGTTTCTAAACTGTTTTGCAAGTGTGTGTGTATGTATATATATATATATACACACATATATATATACATATATATATTTGAAATTGAAAAATATTTCTAAACCTAAGAAATTATAGGACTAAGTTTCTGTAAATGAGATCTAACTACTATACAAAATTTTTACTTACTCTTGCTTTTAGTTGTTCAACCTCTGTAGCAGATCAATAACTAAAGCCTGTGACATTACTTTAAAAAGCTACCTCAGAATATTATAAAGAGGTTGACTGTGGAATATTTTAGACACTATGCCCTGAGTTATTTTAATACCTGTTGTTTGAAAGCGGATCTACACCAAAGCCATTATATTATTTTTTTAAGGAAAATATACTAATCAAATTTCATCTTAAAAGTAGTGAAATTTTAAACCACAAAGAATTCCAAGACTTAACCTCTTATACAGATACAGGATTTGGAAGCTCCACTGGAATTCTTTGCAAGCTGTTTGTTTTTGCCAAGTGACTAGAATAGAGGGCATCACAAGAAAAGAGACTGAAGGCTTAAGGCCTTGGAGTTCAGCATATGCATTTTTGAAATTCTGTTCATGGTTATTAGTCAGCCTACAGGGTCTGTCACAATTTAAATATGAATATAAATAAAATCCCAAAGCCAGAGTAGTAATGTGACTATGTACTAATCAACTAAATTATAAATGGCATTAAAACACACTCTGAAGAACCAGCAACTAGAATAACTGATACTTTGATTTATACCAAACTGAATGCTCACCAAGTAAACTATTTTGCTCAGTGTGATTGAAACTTATAGTCAAAACAATCTAATCCGTTTGGGTACAATGTGAGCTACTTAAAAATTATAGCTGTAGTAAAACACTAGAACTATGGTGAACATGTTTCGCAGGAGAAAGTAAGGGCTGTGCTTCTGTCTTCTATTTAGAATGGAGGTGAGTTCATTTGGTCCCTATGGACATTGAACATTTTCTAGTGGAAAATAGGTAGACAGAAAAGCATTTAGCAGTTAATAATTCAATACAAGGTTTGTTTTATATAAAATCTTATTTGTTTAAACAGTTTCTGTGGTTAAAAATCACTGCTTTAGTAAGTATAAAAATAGCACATAGAAAGACAAATATAATTCCATAAGATTCCTAGAAGTAAATGGGATTTACACTAGTACCTTATAATGTTAGTTTTTGGCGATTTAGTATGCAATGAATTTACACACCTCAGCATTTATTTTATACTACACTTTTTTTTTTTTTTTTTGCCTCTCTTCACTATGCTCTCTATATAACACATGCCAGTCTTGTAGCTGCATGTTGGTAGTGTTCTAGAAATTTAAAAAAATGTATTCTTTATTAACTGATTCAGCAACCATTATTGATTTCTTACCATGTGTCAAGTCTTGAGGTAGGTTCTGGGGAAATTAAATATGGCAGAGACACACCATCAAGTAATTTAAAGTTCAAGGAGAGACACATAAATTAACTAACCATTAAAGTACAACATAGTAAGAGCTCTCTCTTACTTTGCGGATGTATACCCCACCTTTTTTATGTAGTGTGACAACTCTTGAGTTATGTTCCACATGGTTTCTAAGAGGATCCCCAGCAGCCTTGGAGACTTCATTGCCTACAGGAAACTAACCAGCTCATTAAGCCCCTCTCTCCCCTATTTTATTTCTCCATTCTCTTCCAATAATTTCCAGGATCACCTTTCAAATAAGCTACTTGTATGCATATTATTACCTCATATTCTTGTTTTGGGAAACTCAAACTAAGAGAGAAAATTCCATCTCTCTGGCAATTATGATTGATCCATGTCAGCATAGGACTGGAATGTTGGCATTCAGAGCCTTTCCTTGGAATTGATGATAAGAGAAAAAAGCTTTCACTTTTTGCTAGTTTTACAATTGGTGCAGCCAACACCATGTTCCCTTCACATGGAGATCTGAATGCAGTAAGAGAGAAGTGTTTGTGAAAGAACTGGTCCTGGCGGTTACTATGGTTCTTTCTTAAACTCTGAAAACTGCTAGGTATCCTTCCCAGCTAGGCTACCAGTAAATGATATTCCTTTTATAAGTTAGTATTTTTGTTTATAGTGTATGTGATCAAAAGAGGACTATCTAATGTGTATAGTAAAGGGAAAGAGAATTAAGAACAAGAGTTGAATAAACTGAGTTCGACTTGCAGGCTGGTATAAATGAATTATAAGAATGATATGAGGGACCTGGGTGGCTTAGTCGGTTAAGCGTCTCCCTTCGGCACAGGTCATGATCCCAAAGTCCTGGGGTCAAGCCCTGCACTGGGCTCCCTGCTTGGTAGGGAGCCTGCTCCTTCCTTCCCCATTCCCCCTGTTTGTATTCCCTCTCTCGCTGTCTCTCTCTCTCTCTATCAAATAAATAAATAAGATCTTAAAAAAAAAAAAGAATGATACGGGGTTTACGGAGATAGAGAGCACTTTAGATAGTATGCACGTCGATGCGTGTATAGCATGCAGTCTCCGTTATTAGCATGTGTGTGTATATAGTGAGAGATCTAAAATCGTCTTATGCTTGAAAAATATTTATTTTCTACCATTTTCTTTAGGAAAGCTTCTTTATCTTTCTACTCTAAATTATGTCTCAGTTTATAGGCAAGAACATCACACTATCCAATACTTTCCATTTAATTTAAAGGGCTTAGTTTCCAAATGTAGCCATTTCATCCATATGTCTCCAATGTGAAAGAAGCAAAAGTTTTGTTTTTTTTTTAATGACACTTCACAAAGGATTAATATGTGGCAAAGAGTGCTTGTAAAATGTCTTAGTAGAAGGAAAAATCAGATCATTTACATGTGCTATTGATTTATAATCAGGATTCTAAGCTCGATGGATTTGTAGTACCAGAGGAGGCAAGCAGTAGCACTTAAACACGTTTATTACTCTGGTACATATACTATTATTATGGTAATGCCACATTACTTAAGGCGTATAATTCCAAATACCAAATAAATGTGTCACTTGACAATATAGTTTATCTAAATTAAAAATTACTCTTTTTGACAAAAACATGTGCTTGTGAGGTAGCATGTGTCTATTAGGTTTAAATGGCTGTAGATATTTATACTAGGGAAATTCTTCAAAGAAAACATATATTGCCGCAAAATAACTTTAAATCATGTTAATTATTAGTTATATTTTAAAATATGAGCTTTTAGGGCACCTGGTGGCTCAGTTGTTAAGCGTCTGCCTTCAGCTCAGGTCATGATCCCAGAGTCCTGGGATTGAGGCCCACATCGGACTCTCTGCTCTGGGGGAAGGCTGCTTCTCCCTCCCTCTCTTACTCCCTCTGCTTGTGTTCCCTCTCTTTCTGTTTCTCTCTGTCAAATAAATAAACAAATAATCTTTAAAATAAAGTAAAATATGAGCTTTTATACTCATATTTTAAAAATTTTTCTTAAAATTAGTGTTAAAAAACCTTATTAGTCCTATTAGAAATATTAGTTCTATCTTGTCATATCTCATAATGTTTGGATTTAATCTGCAACTGTTTTGTAATAGTTGGTTAATTTTTCAAGAATGCTAACATTTGTATCTCATGTTTTCAAATAAAAATAAAACAATATTTATTCTTTTTAAATAAAACAGTATTTTAAAAAAAATTCTGACTCACTGAGAGAAATCTTTATTTTTTCTTGTTTTCATAAAGCTTTAAAATCTAGGTAAATTAATTTTTAAATTAAGAAAAAAACAAAAATAATGCCTTTCTAATGCTTTTGAAAAAGGTCATTTTTAATATTTTTAGTTTTTATTTTAAAATGTATAATTTTAACGCTAACTTATTGAATACATGAAAGATATATCTAGTTTTTCCCTACTTACTTTCATTCCTAATTATTCCAAGTGGTATTACTTCTAATGTGAAAGTCGTCAAGGTCTAGACCAAATGACAAAATGTTTCCTTATAAAGTTTCATGAAAATCTAACTATTGTTAATGTACTTTGTTCTATGCCATCCCCTCTAGAGAATGAAATAAAAAGTGAAATTTTTTAGAAATAGAAAATATTAAGTGATTTTAAAAATTATGCCTATAATCTACATTGATTTGGCTCCTAAACATGAGTTTAGTAACTTATGAAATATTTTGGGGGATGGGAAGATGTAAAAATATTGATCAGTGACAGGCATTCTCTATGACAAGGTATAGCTAAGCCATTATAAGAAAAAGATAAGAGAATCCAAGACATAGAATGTCCTATTATTTTTGTGTAAAGAAATCTATTGCAGGTAATAGAGTCAGCTGAATTCTGGACAGGGATGAAAAAACAGGAGAGTAGCATAGAACGAATTCAATATACTTAAAGCTTTGACAGACTTTTAGCTGTCACTGCATATATTCAAAACAAATACCCTTCACACAAATAAATACTTCTAACACCAAGGACTATGGAAAGTGTAATATATATATATACATTTCTTTCTCCTTTAAATCCCCCGAACACAAGCTTTCTCAGCAAAACTTTGGTTTATTTTAAATGCAGTCCATGTCTACTTTATTTTTTTTCTCCCGATGTCTACTGCATTTTAGCAATCTAATTTCCTCAGCCCATTGACATATGTTGCTGGTTGGTAACAAAGCTCCATGCCAGAAATGTCAAACTAAATGAATAAGGCAAAATCACAGAAAACAAGGTTATTCTGTGAGTTTCCCAAGTTTGTAGGTTCTGAGTGTTCTTCCGATTTATCAGCCCAGCTGAACTCAGGAGGGCACACTGGTACTACTTCTCCAGCTAGTCAAGGCCCCTGAGTCCCAGTGCCTCAAAGAACATTTCTAAGGAATACATTAGTGTCAAAATACCCGGCCTCCCAGAGAAAGCTAGTCATGCTAAAAATAGGAATGGTGTAATGCATCCAACTTTCTAAATCCTTAACTTGTAAAAAAAAAAAAAAAACCAAAAACAAAAACCTACAAACATTTAAAGAAAAAGCTTATTGAGGCGCCTGGGTGGCTCAGTGGGTTAAAGCCTCTGCCTTGGGCTCAGGTCATGATCCCAGGATCCTGGGATCAAGCCTTACGTCGGGCTTTCTGCTCCGCGGGGAGCCTGCTTCCTCCTCTCTCTCTCTGCCTGCCTCTCTGCCTGGTTGTGATTTCTCTGTCTTTGTCAAATAAATAAAATCTAAAAAAAAAAAAAAAAGCTTATTATGTTATTTATAATTTACTGTAACATTTATAATTTAAATATGATAGCAGTGGTGATTGATGAATGGTGAAATGTGTTGGAATTATAACTCGCTTACCTAAAATTAAGAGAACCATATTAACTTGGAAATAACTCTTTAATTTTGTTTTTAATGGTGAGGATACAATACTGACTGCATGGGTGAAATTACAAGCGTGCAACTTCAGAGTTAAACTTGAAAGCTTTGATAACTAAGAAAAAAAAATACGACAAATTAATAATGATACCTGACCTAAAGACTGCCTGATCTGCTAGACACGTAGGCACTATAGATTTCTTTTAAGTGTTTCTTGGTGCATCTTCCTACTTTTAACTCATCATCATCTCTATATTTAAAGCAAATTCCCTTTAGAAACCATGTAGTTGGTTCTGCTATTTTATTTAGCCTGGCTGACTCTGCCTTTTATTGAAAAAAAATTTTTAAACCACATTTGATGTAATTATTGATGTATATGGCTTTAAATGGATCATCTTGCTATTTGTTTTCTACTTTCTGTAGTACTTGTATCTCTACTTTGTTCCTTTTTACTCTTGCCTTCTTTTGTAGTTTTTAGGTTTCCATATTACCTCCTACGAAAGAGGCAGCCAGATTTTATGAGAGGTAATGCCCCCTTCCCAAACTCCAGGTAGAAGCAAGTTTGCCCCTTGACTTGGTGGTAGGCACCACAGAGAATGGCAATGGCTTATAGCATGGTGTGAATGGATAAAGTAAGACTATCCCATTTTCTCCCGCAGAACTCTTAAGTGAGGAAGTACAAAGGATTTTCCACCCTGCAGTAGATGCCAAGCTAAAAGATAATGACACAGAAATAGAGATCAAGGAAGCTATGCTATATCATCTGCATGCCAATATTCTAAGTGACTTGAAGCTTTCAACATGAAGAGATATTTGAAGATTGAAAGGATAGACATCATGAGGTGGTGTTAGGGAAGGAAGATGGCCATTTCTGTGTAACCAGCTCTTTCAGATCCTAGCCTATGTGTATGCAATAATAAATGCAGGTTTTGTAGAACAATGTGAATGACCTTCTGTTTTTCAGACTAAAAAATCTGAGTAGATATTGTCATTTATAATATCACTGCAATTATTTGGTACTAAGTTATAGCATTGAAAAAGTAAGAGAAAGGAAAATCCTCTTTTTTCAAATATTTTCTAACTAGTATTGAAAAAAATATTAGCAAGAAAAAATTAGTATAACAGAATATATTTTGTTTTATATAGTTATATATAATCAGGGAAGTAATTGTTTAAATTATAAATATTAAAATATTTACTGTATTTTATTTATTTTACTGTATTTTATTTATTTACTTATTCATTTATTTACTGTATTATTATTCTATTTATTATTGTATTTATTTTTTTAAGATTTTATTTATTTATTTGTCAGAGAGAGACAGAGGCAGGCAGAGGGAGAAGCAGGCTCCCTGCTGAGCAAAGAGCCTGATGTGGGACTCGATCCCAGGATCCTGGGATAATGACCTGAGACAAAGGCAGATGCTTAACTGACCAAGCCACGCAGGCATCCCTTTAATGTATTGCTGATTTTTTCTGACACCAATGTGTTTAAATAATTACAACTGCCTCTTACAAGTCTGTATAATTTTTTTCATATTCTTTGTTATTTTTTTAAAAAAACATAACTGGCATGTGTTCAAATGGATGAGTGATTATGTAGCTATGAATAGAAATAATTTGTTTTCTTTGAATCACTTGGATATGGAAAGTAATTAAATAATTTGCCTCATCTGCTAACTGTCTTGAATAAATTTGATTGCTGAGGCTCAATTTTACTTTAAGATTGGCCATCACATTAATTCATTTGCTTTCCAGATTGTTTCATTTCTTCTTGTTCAAACATTTAAGTACCTTAAAATAAGAGCAACATTTGCAACACCCTATTTTCCCAAAGGATTCAGTAAAGTATTCCTTTCTTAATTCTTTCCTTTGAACTTGTTTATTAGAAACTAGCATAACTTTATTTATGTTATGTGAATTAGAGATGAGAAGCCAGAGATGAGGTATTTTCTTTCTTTATGTAATACATATTTTTTCTAAGCTTCCGCTAAGAGCATTTTCTCCAGACTCTTTAGCACTGACTGATTTTCACACTCTAAAGTGCAGATTGCTCATCTATATCCGTTTCATCTCTCCTTGCAGGATTTGAGGGTGAACATTGTGAAATTAATGTGGATGAGTGCTTCTCCCTTCCCTGTCAGAATTATGGTGACTGTGAAGATGGGGTCAACAATTTCAGGTAGAGAAAACCAAAAAAATAATGAGATACAAGTTTATGCATCTAGATGTATCTAAACACATCCATGTTTATAATTTCAGTTGACAAATTGAACAACATTTCTGATTATTAAAAATTTGCCATGCTACAATTATTTGAAGCTTTGACTTTATGTGTTTATACTAATGGAGGTATTAAATTTCTTGTTTAAAAGATGTGTTTGCAGACCTGGGTTTTCTGGAACTCTATGTGAACTTGAAACCAATGAGTGTTCTTCTAGACCTTGCAAAAATAATGGGACCTGTGTGGATCTGGCAAACAGGTTAGAAGCTATATTTTACTTAATCAATTATTTTGTATATGATATTTAAAAAATAAAATGAACATATATTTGCCTATCATTCAACTTGAGCAGAATTTTCTCAATATCCTTGTGGTTATCCCCAAGTACTCCTCTACTTTTCCCCCATATTGAATATCCTGAATTTTTTTGTTGTTAAACAAAGATTTTATGTTTTTTATTTAAATTTCAGTTAGTGCAGTGTAATATTAGTTTCAGGCATATAATATACTGATACAACCCTTCCATACAACACCTGGTGCTCCTCACAAGTGCCCTCCTTCATCCCCATCACCTATTTGACCCATCTCTTGCCTTTAATATATAGTATTAACTATTTGTATACCTACCTCAACAAAACACTTAGTTAGCATTTAATATAACTGAAATAATATTGTGTTTAGTCTTCAGAAATAATTCATTATGTTGAACATAACATTTCTGCATCTGTTGCTCATTTTTAACTGTTGTACAATATTCCATTTAAATATGTGTCAACATTTCTGTATCAGTCTTCTGGCCATAGATATCTGGGTTATTTGACTCTTCTTTCTTAGAGATAATAATACTCTTAAGGTTTTCAAATATTTCCCCAAGTACACAAGTGTTAGTTTTAGTTTAGATTTCATACCTAGAAATGGAATAGTTGGATCATTGGGTAGATGTTTTCACATGTATTATATCATTTTTTTTCCATTTTACTTTGAAAATGGAATATTCACACTCTTAGTGAAAATGAGTAAGTGTCCCTATTTACATTCTTAGATATTCCATTTGGGCTTATCTGCTGTGTGTAAAATTATATATCTTTGGTTTTTTTTTTTCCTGAGTTCCCATCATAACTTATGAGTTTAAGCATTCCTTTATCCACTTTAAGAAATTCAGTTTTTCCTTTCTAGAAATGCCTATTTATGACATCTTCCCATTTATGTTTTCTTCTTATTGATTTGTAAGAATCTTTATATATTTTGGTTATTACTGCTTTTATTAGTTGTATTTACTGAAAATATTTCTATTGATTGTAGATTGACATTTTACCTTCTCTATGATAAGTTTTGAGTGCTAAGCTTTAATTTTAATGTAATGAAATTAATCAGTTTGCTTATGGTTTGCCTTTTTATCTCATTTAAAAATGTTTACTCTACTTAAAGAAGAAACAATAGCTATTCTTATCAAACTTTTCCAAAAAATAGAAGAGGAAAGAAAACTTCCAAATGCATTCTATGAAGCCAGCATTACCCTGATAACAAAAACAGATAAAGACAACACACAGAAAAGAAAACTGCAGGTCAATGTCTCTGATGAACATAGTTAAAAAAATCCTCAACAGCAACTCAATCCAATAATACATTAAAATTAGCAACTCAATCCAGTAATACTTTAAAAAGAATCATTCACCATAATCAAGTAGGATTTATTCCAGGGATTCAAGAGTGGTTCAATATTTTTTAAAAAAGTTTATTCTAGGACAAAAGAATCTTGCTTATATTTCCTTTTGAAATATTTAGAGTTTCACCCTTTCTATTTAAATTAATTTATCTGGAAATTTTGCATGCATGTGTGCATGTGTGTGTGTGTATAGGTAGGAATTTTAAGTTCATTTTTGCATATGATTAACTAATTGTGCCTGCTGTATGTATTGAATAACTTCATCTGTTACTTCCTGCTTGGCCTGACCTGCATTGCTTTCTTGGTTGCAGAACAAGTCCCCATATACAAATATTTCTATTTCTTTGCCTCTATTCTGTTTCCTTAGTTCAGTTAGCTGTCCATGTGCCAGTACCATAAATCTCACTTACTTACCTTTGAAATATCTCAATACTGGTAAGGCAAGAAATCTCATATTTTTATCTCCTTTAGGAAGCTTTAGTTATTTTTGACAGTTTTGTTCTGTTACAATCAACATGTATTGTATAAATCCTTACATCTAAACAAAGAAAGAAAGACTGGTAGAATTTTTATTGGAATTTTATTGAATTTGTAGATCAATTTGAAGATAATTGATATACCTTCATTAGATCTTTTAAAATATCTTTCCAAAAAATAATAGTTGGACAAATTCAACTGGATATACATTGATTAGGATGAATAAGACTCATTTGCCAGGTCACCATTTCTCTCCAGATACCAAGGGATATATTTGATTATCTTAATAGAGATCTAACATCTAGAATTCTTCTCACAATTTATATCACAACCTGCTTAGGTTTCTGATAATCTTCTATTATTTCTATTATTTTCTGTGGCCACCTGACTTTTGCACTGTCCAATCTAGTGAAGTAAATGGAGACATGCTTTGAATAACCACCCCTGGAACTCAAAAGCCTTTGAAGGGGACACTAATCACTAGAAGTCCCATAGGGATACAGAATTGCTTTCAATTTAAAATCTTGATAAGTCTAAAGGGACATTTCAAGATCTCCCAGTTGGGCTTTCTGCATAATAGCTCTTATTCCCATGTGGACATTCTGTTACTAAGTATATTGACTACACTATATATTCAGGGACTGTGAAGGAAAACAAAACAAAAAACAACAAAAGATGGATTTATGATCCATCTACCAGACCTAAATAATTGTGTACTCCTACTGATGGAAAGTGGTATTTCAGAGATAAGCATAAGTTCAGGGCCATTATCTAAAAACTCCTAAAAGGCCTGAATATCATTCTTTAATCAGTGAACAATCATAGTAGTAAATGGTCTCAGAAACCTCTGAAAAAACTTCAGGAAAATACATGGAAAGCCTGTGACTATATGTCAAGATCCTTCTTCAAAAGGACCTACTATCCTTCAGTTGAAGCACTGAGTCCATGACACAGCATAGGTCTGAAACTTTTTAAGAGGCTAGGAATCCCTACAAAGGCAAATTAAATAGTGTACTTAATTCTATATATATGAATATATAGAATTATACTATCCTTCAGACCTGCATACTTAATTCTGTACATGTGAATAGTACCATAGCAGATTGCCCATAGATTTTATTTTGTAGAAACTTGTCACTGTCATTGCTATTGCCATTGTCAAGGATGTCTGAATCAATCCACCAATCACCATCTGTTTCTCTGATTTATGGGGATATTTGCTCATTTTTTAATCTGACAGTCATACATAATCAACAGTTTTTATCCATTCTTGGGTCTCATTATTCTAATTTATATCAGGGAACCCAATTTTACTGTAGCATCTCATATTTTCCCCAGCCTATAAAGGATAATCACCCTAGAGTTCATCGAGACACTAATGCCCCCCTCATGAAACTGTTCTTGATCTTGGTGAATGGAATTCCTCCTGGGTAAATGGAATTTCTTCCTAGGAGATAGAAATACCCTCCTGTACTCTCTTGGGATAAAAATTAAAGGGTAACTGAACAGCTTACTCATGATAGATCCATTCAAACATTTCCATAACAATAAGCCCATGAGCAGCTCCTTATAATATATACCAAGAACACTCTGGCACTTCTGCCTCACCAATCTAAGCTAGAATAAAGTCCAGTGTTTGATTAGCCAATTTAACACCATACCCAGATGCTAATAGTAGCACATTGAAACTTCTCTCTCATCCATGTCAATAAGTTTAACTCATTTAAGTTTTATATTTATTCTCCTTTGGTCTGACTACCTTAGGGTCAGTCTCACACATGCTCCCCAGCTTTGTGACATACAGATTTTTGGAGTTATGCAGCTCTTCTAGGATATAGGCTAGATGTTCCCAGTTAAGTGTTTCCATCTCTCGTCAGCAACATTGGAATCTAACCCTTTTTGTGCCCTGGAACCAAAGAGAAATGTTGATAAGTGGGCCAGGGAAAATGCAATATTTTATAAATCAATTCTTTCACCAGCATTTAGAGGAAGGCTTGTGTGTAAACAAGCACAGATTTTGTAAGAAACAGGAGACGTTTAGCCTCTATCACTAATGGAGATTAAAATGAATTCAGAGATTTAAGTTCCTTTGCTATATCTATCCTTTGTATATAGGAGGTATGAACTCCTTCAGAGTTCCTATATGGGCTATACTGGTTTGCTGTTATTGCTCAGCAGAAACTGAAAACTTGGTGCTTAAAAATGATTATTACTTATTAATATTTTCACATCTGTGGTTTATTGGTATTTGGTTCTAATATAGATGGGGTTCACCTAAGTTTCTCAGGGACATAGCTGAGGAGGAAGAAGTCAGCTGAAATGGCTGTGCTCCAAGTGTCTTTCATTTTTTTTGGATTAGCATGTTTTCACAGAGTTGCAGAAGTTCAAGAAGACAAGCAAAAAAACAGGCAAACTCTGTTAAGCCTTAGACTCTGAGATAGTGCCTCTCATCCTTACCTATAGATCACATGCAAAATAATAACTGTAGCCATGCCTGAAAGTGTGGGGCAAACACTCTTCCCATGATGAAGCTGTGGCTAGGAAAAAAAGTGGTAAAGAATTAAGATAAAAAATGCTATCAACTAACAGAAGATAGGATTAGTTAATGGAAAATAAGCTCACAAAAAACGTGTAGACTGAAGCATGGGGCATTAACTGCCTGGCATTCCTAATTTGCCCTGCATGAGACTTAGGAGCTAGCTGAGTCAGAGATGGGAATAAAATGAATAGTAGAATCAAAATGATTTTACAAATATAAATGAAGGTATTTCACATCACTTAATAATATGGCTTCTAAAGATCAGTTTTCTAAGTTCCAGTATGAGAACTCAAAGAGTTAGAGGAGGAAGTCAGCCAAAAATGCCCTCTTCTTAAAAGACAGCTCTTATGGTCAAAGACCTATGAGTTTATTTACAGAAAACTGAATTGATTATAAAGTTGATTTTGACTCTTCAATCTAGCTGATGACATCAAACTCTTTCTCAAACTGAGAATATCCTAAAATAAAAGCTTGATGGAAAATAACCAAATACTAATGGTGAACAATCTGGCAACCAACATGCAGATTGCTGAAGAGTTTTTGTCAATATTAATCCTCAAGCTCGGCTCATGTATAG